TTTTTTTTTTACTCACAGTTTCTACTTGTGCAAATGTGTAAAATGTGTAAACTCTTCAGTACGTAATAGAATTTTACTGAAACCTCATGAAAACAGCAGGGTTTCCACAGAGCAAAAAAACCTTGATTACTAGGCCTGGATAAGTCATGTAAAATGTAAAAATCTGCATTATAATATCAGCCTGCTGGTCATGACTCATTTGTACACTAATAAGTGTAATTGTTCAAATCTGTTCATTTCAAAATATTGTAAACACTTTTTAAAAGGATTTTTAAAAACATGAAATATCAGTGGTCAGAAAGCCTGACTCAGTGAATGTGTTGTTTTATTATGCAATCCATTCATTACTGATGCTTCATTATTTTATAACAGCATATTATAATATCTGTTTGATGCATGGTGCATTTAAAGGCATTGTACTGATATAACAGGCAGTGGGAGGAGGAGCTTGAAACTTCACATTTCTTTTTTTCTCGTTTTGTCTCTATCGCACAGAATCTCAGTATTGGTGTAGAAGAGAACATCCTTCACTTCAAAGGTACATGTCACAACCAACCACCAGCAGGACTCTCTTTCTCTTCAGCTGTGTGACTTTTGTTAATTTTGCTCTTTTCAAGGTCAAGGGCATGGAGCGAAAGGAGAAAATGAATATGAATTCAGCCTGGAATTCCTAAAACCGGTTAAACCTGAGGTAACAGCCATCTTAATTTACTGTTTTGTGAAAAATTGCAAAAAAAAAACATCTATGTTTGGTTGCACAATGAAGTGCAGTGAACATTTGCCTTGTCAAAAACAGAAGAACATTAAGTTTGGTGCTTATTTTTGTTTGATTATGTTGGAGGAACATGAAAATGTTTGTGTACACAGGTAAAACACAAATCCACTCAGCGGCAGGTGAATATCACGGTAAAGAAGCCGGAGCTCGTCTGGTGGGATCGGCTCACTAAGCAAGAGAAGAAGCCTCTGTTTTTAGCACCTGATTTTGACCGCTGGCTGGATGAGTCAGATGCAGAAATGGAGCTCAGAGAGAAGGTAAAGAGGTTTACTAATAACCAAAAACATGAATTATTTGTTATACTTGAGGAGCTTCAAAGTAGGTCACTGTCTGATGTGTTAAACTGTTTTCTGCACACAGGAAGAGAAAATAAACAAAGTCAGCATTGAGTCAAGGGTTCGTAAGGACCGTGAGTATATATTTAATTTTTTCAAGTATAAAGTAAACACATTGGGTCAGCTTACCAAATAATAACCATGTATTCATTTTTTTTTATGTTACTGTGTTTGCAGCTTTTCTTGGCTTGAAAAAAGGTTTTCTCTTTATGTACAATTTGGTCCAGTTCCTCGGTTATTCCTGGATATTTGTCAACATGACTGTACGTCTGTTCATACTTGGGCAAGGTTAGTCTAGTTTTTCAGCTTTATTTTGTAAGCAGCTTAAAGATACACTTCTGCTTTTTTTAGCTGTTGTCATTGTGAGGAAATGCATATCATTTGAATTTTTTTTTAAAGGTCTGTTATGCAAATTTTCATATATATATATATATATATATAGAGAGAGAGAGAGAGAGAGAGAGAGAGCATCTCAAGTGCGTTTTCACAGAATTCAGTTTAGAGCTTCTAAATCTCATTTATAAACCTCGGTTAAAACAAAAAAAAATTTCTGACTGGGAATTTTAAAAGCGAGGTTTGCACCACTTTTTACGCAGGGGTTAAGAAACCCTGCTCAGAAACATAGTTTGCACAGCTTTTGCTGTGTTAACACCGCATTGCATTGCCAGACTTGTAGAGTGTGAAACGTTAGAACGGTCTTAGAACGTTATGACAAGATGCATAACATCAGACACCCCAATTGCTTGCTTTATATCCACGTGCTTTGAACAATTACAGAAAACTGCGAGTTAAACAGGCTTTTCAGCATTTTAGGGGAAAAAATGTCCAAAGGATGCACAATACTAGACCCTTTATGTAAACAAGTTGTGTGCTGCATTCGTCCAATCAATGACACTGACACCACAAATATGCAAATAAGAATATTAACCCAGGGACTAGGAATGTACAGTGTGAAATGTCAGCATACAAATACCCAAGATTAATTGTTAACCCAGGATAAATTATTGACAGTGTGAAACATGAAGCAAGATCCAGAATTCTGTTTACCCGGGTTTAGAAAGACCCAGTGTTAACTATTTCAATTGTGAAAAGCCCCTTTCATTAGATTGTTTCTCCAAAGTGTGAAAACAGTTTTAGAGTCATGGTCCTTACTGTTTTTTTTCTCAACCCAACAGATTCTTTCTACGACACATTTCATACCATTGCAGACGTGATGTACTTCTGTCAGATGCTGGCAATAATGGAGGTTATTAATCCTGCTGTTGGGTTGGTTAAGACTGGAGTCATGCCTGCTTTCATTCAGGTATGTCTGGTGCGCCCCATGCTTTAGTAACCAATTAAATGCACTTCATTGTATACTATTTTGAATAATACATTTCTCTTGTTAAAGGTGATGGGGAGAAACTTCATCCTTTTTGTCATATTTGGTACTTTAGAGGATATGCAGAACAAGCCAGTGGTCTTCTTTGTCTTCTATCTGTGGAGTATAATTGAGATATTCAGGTAATTTTGTGAATTATTTATAATAGTATGGTACATGTGTGATCATATTGCATATTTATTAAGAGCACAGTTTCTGCGAATGGTGAGGAAATGTAGGAGTTTGTTTCATGGGGTAGTATGCATTTCTTTATCTGCAGGATATCCTCTTCTGTTTGTCCTGAGCCAGATGCTAAAAATTCAACTTCCTATATGCGGTCGTTAGTTTGTTAAATTAAATGCATTTTCTCTTTCCTAAATATTCTGAAAATTAGAACCTAAATTGGAATTACAGCGACAGAATACAAACATTGGAAAGACGTTTACCCGTATATCTTTTTGAGCTTGGTATGTGCATGAATATGATTTTAGGTATTTTTAATGTTCTTTGCTCTTTTATCAGTGATGTGGTTTTTGTACAGGCACAGTTTATCCACACTTCTTCCGCTATCATTCTCTTCCTGTGGGCTCACACAACTTATCACTAGGGGACACATATCCGTGTGCAAATAGTAAAATAGCAGTCATTACCTCAAAACTAGGGCTGAAAGCAATGTAACTAGTTCATATGACAATATATAAATGAGAACACATATCTGCAATAGTTTTGAATGTTGTATTTTTGTAATTTGTTTATATTTTTTATTTTTATGAAATAAATATTTTTATGAAAATAAATATACACTTGCCAATACTAACTTCAAAAGTTGGGGGCCTCTAAGATTTTTAAAATCTATTTTATTCAGCAAGGATGCATTAAATTGATCAAAAGTGGCAGTAGAGGCATTTATACAATTACAAAATATTTATATTTTAAATAAATGCAGTTTTTTTTTTTGTAGTATGCAGTAACTTTGTATTCATTAAAGAATCCTGAAAAAATGTATCATGGTTTCCACAAAAATATTAAGCAGCACAACTGCATTCAACATACTGTATATATATATATATATATATATATATATATATATATACTTCTTTTTATCACATCAATGCATTCTTGGTGAGCATAAGAGACTTAAAAGAACATAAAAAGAGACTCAAAAACAAAAAAATCTTACTGACCCCAAACTTTTAAATGGTAGTGTGTATTTTTCTGTTTTGATTTAAAAAGCAGTGTTGTTATTGTAATCATCTGAGCCCTACAGCCTAGTCCTAAAAGGGACCTTTTTGTTGAATAAAAACAGATCTAATCCTACAATTGTAAAAATGAACCATAGGTATCCTTTCTACATGTTGGCCTGCATTGATACGGAATGGAAGTTGTTGACTTGGTTGAGATACACCATATGGATACCCCTGTACCCTCTTGGAGTGCTAGCTGAAGGTATGTGTTCTCAAGTCATAATCTGTAGACTAGCCCCCCCACCACAGGAAAAATCATGATGGGCTGTTCATGAGAAGGTGAGACATTAATGTATAATATACATGTATAACTGACAGCTTTTCTTATGCTTTCTTATATTATGATCAGCTGTGGCGCTGATCCAGTCCATCCCCATCTTCGATGAAACCAAACTCCTCAGTATTCCTCTGCCTAAAGCCATTGGCATGTCTCTCAGCTTCTCCTACATCCTGCAGCTCTACCTGGTGATCATGTTCCTGGGTACGGTCTATAAAATACATGCAAACAAGTAAAACCAGGGTTCCCACAATGTTTGTCCAATGTATTTATAGAGATTTTAAAGTACATCGTAGAGTCAATTAAATATTTTAGAACTAAGCATAAATTGCCATTACAGTTCCATGACGTTTTAATATTTCATTAATTTGTTTAATTCCCTAATATTTCCAGGTTCTCAATGTCTGTGGGAACCCTGTAAAACAGTGTAACTGCTATGCCATATAAATAAATTTTCGACAATTTCAGGCCTCTTCATCAACTTCCGCCACCTCTTCAAGCAGAGGAGTAGACGGTTTCGCACAAAAAAGAGGAAAGCCAACTGAGGGGAAGGTGAAGCCACGTGCTTCATTCTCCATGTGTGTCTCTATTTTTGTTCAATTTAATCTGCCACCTCCATTTTCTTTCTTTACATTTGCCCTCTGTCACAGAGAAGTCATTATTGAGGGAAAACTATTTCTCTTTCAAACACCCAATTCAAATTCATTTACTTTCTACATACTGAAATACTGAAGGACCATGACTCAGTTGTAGAGGATAAAGAGGACTAATTTAAAACACTAGAAAGAAGTATATCTTATCAAATAATTCTAACCCAGGACCATGAAGGTATTTATACATTGTATCATTCCATCTATATGCAGTATGTTTGCGTGTTTGTAGTAGATTAGCTGTGTGTCAGACTTAAGGAAGCAACATTTTATTTTCCTGTCATTCCCTGAGATGTGTTGTAGTAGTTGACAGAGCACTGACAACAACAACATAGACCATGAACCTCAGGGAAAACGTCATGAAGCATTCAAGTCACATGAGAAGAGCCAATTCAATGTTGTTGGATGTGGAATCTGGACATGAATGTGTAAATGAAACTGTTAAATATTTAATAAAATTTCAATGAAACAAAACATTTTCAGATGACTACCATTAGGCATAAACTACAGGCAGTTTAATTTTTATTGGTCATTAGAAAAAGTTATTTACATAAACAGTTGTTGGTCTGAAAACAGATTCCAAAGTCTCCAAATGCATTTTCTTGGAAAACTGCTGAATGTTTTTTTTTCCTCAAATTGAGTGTTCAGTATCATAATGTATGTCACAAAGGTTTTCTCTCATTTTATCTCTATCACCAAACATTTGTGGCACTACTAGAACATGGGAAGATGCCACATTTGTGTGATTCTGCTGCAGTAACTCATTTCCCTCGGACAAATATTTCACATTGAGTTTTTAAATAAAGGTTCATTCCTCTATAAGTGATCTGGTAGTTGTCCATTGAGCGTTGTACCTCCATCCTCTATATTCTGTCGGCTCCTCCTCCCCCTGAGAAATCAGTGAGCATGGGGGTAATGTTGTGTTCATAGGTCGCATACTTGGAGTCTCCACTACTAGCCAGTTTAAGCTGCTGGGCAGCATGTGAGAGCTGGAAGGCGGCATCAGGATGGGCAGAGTCAGGCAGCAGTGTACACTCCCTCTCCAAAAGTTCAGCCACACTCTTAAGAAGCTCCCAGAAACCAAAGGCGAGAGCGGCCTTTCGCAGACGGTTTAGTTCCTACAGTGAAGAAAATATAAATGTCACACCAAAAAATTATTTTAACTGTAATCAACAGGGTCATATTTCAGCATACGATATCTACATACTAAACATTAATTTTTAAATATATATATATTGAGAGAGAAATTGAAGAATTTAATATGCATAATTACCCACCTTATAGAAGGTTTGTGTTTTTTCTGGCAATTTCCTTGCATTACGGAGAATTTTCTGTACATCTGTCTGAAAAACATTCAGTTAAAATGACTTTTAATCAGTGGCCTGTCAGATATATTAAATGTAGTGTAGTATTCAGGTGTATACCTGCAGTCCACTGGCTTTAATCCAGACAGTAACATTCTGAGCATAGCTTCTTTTGTTTTTCGGCTGTATGGGAAAAGGACTTTTACTGTCATCTTCGCCATAGGGATTTTCAGCTGCATCTGTATGTCAAGCAAACAAAGAATCATAGTGAACTGATATTTATACCTTTGGCCAGTAAGCAAAACCTTATGCAAACAATGAGCAAATGTTTTTATTATGTATATGTCTCTAGTCTCAGAAGGAACCAAAGCATGAGGAAAATAAATATTTCATCATGCAAATTTGTGGTTATACTACTGTTATCCCTGACCCTGGTGTGTTTACCTACAGGTTTCCTAACTGAACTCAGTGAACCATCAAGGTTACTTTTGTTTCAGTGTATTAATTATTAACGACTTGAACATACTGCAATACAACACAGTTTATTTTTTACTTTATTTTATGTTAACAGGCATTTAAAGTGTGGCTGTTCCAGAAAAATAGTGAAAGGGTGCTACCTGAGGCAGGGCCAAGCTGTGACATTCTGCCCAACCAGGGCAGAGGCTCTGAGCCGGGCTCAAAGAGTGACATCATTAGATTAGACTTCTTCTTACTGTCTGCCTGGGAATAAAGCATCCCGAGCCAGTCTGGCCTGTCAGAGGAAACATGGATAGTGAAAACTTTTATTTCAGAGTAACTAGGTAATTCATCTCCAATATGTTGGTGATGAAAACAAATCCTTCTCATCTGACAGTGCAATCTACTAAAAGCACATTTTTTATATATTGCCAACATTTTGAATGCTTATGAAAAGGCAGATGCATATTTTCATACTGATCCTTACCCTAGTTGTACAAGTGCCACCATGCCCTCCACCTTTAGGCTGCCATGTAGAAGAACACAGAAGTTTGGGCTCTTTCCAGCCATCTGATTTGTGGAGATCTCTTCCTCTGTGTCATCAGTGGCCCCCGTACCGATCTCATCCCCCTCTGTCAAGCAAAACAACATGCCTGTGAGCCCTAGCCAATCTGGCAAGGTTAATAAAGTCACACTATATTAATGTTAAAGTATATATGTGTGTGTGTGTGTGTGATTAATATATTTTAAAAGATATTTTACTACAATAATTAAAATAATCATTAACAACTAGAAAAGTCATTTAAATTAATTGGTTAAATTTTTTTGCAAATAAACAAGTTTGAAAATTAGCAGCTTTGTCATTACAACAGAAGTACCAGTAAATAAATAAGGATGTGGATAAGATGACCTAGGAAATATGAAGCAAAATACTGACCTTTGTTCACAGCAATGGGCAGGACCAAGTGCCTGGATAAAACCGGAGGGCTGGCGATATCTCCAATCTCAATAAAACCCACAATCTCCAAGTCTATATATACAACACAACAAGGTAACATAACTATCAAGTGCACTTTGCTCCAGTTTCCTCTTGTAGAATCTAGCATGATTAGCAACAAATAAAAACATTTATTTATTTACATTTACTGTCTGATTATAAAGCCCTTAAATGTAATACTTATATACATTTATATTTATATTTAATAGATTTATTATATAAACCTGCTCACACAAAATGCCTTATTTATATATTATTAATAATGAGAACATTCATTTAAAAACACAAAACTTGGAATAGTTTAATGCTTGCATTAGAACAACAAGAGGGTGACATTAAGGACACGATCATTTCACTAGCTTCTCTGCTCATACCTGTTTGCACTGTTTTGGGTATGGGATCCACTTCCTCATCTATCGTCACTGGCTCTGGCCTGGGAAAGACCTGCACATCAGAGGTCAGGTTCCCACAGCGCAGCACCGCATGGAAGGGAGAGTATGCCTGGTCAATCAGCTTACTGCCAACACAAAAGTGATGTTAACCACAAAATGTTGCATAAACAAAAATGTGCACTTAATTAAATCAAATGCAAGAACATACAGTATTTAGTAGTATTTATGCACAAAGTAACATGATCACTCACCCAAACATAGACTGGACACTTTTAAGACAAAGGGGTCCCTCCATCGTGTATATCTGACCCTCTCCGCCGTTCAAATTAATCAGCTGCTCTAAGTTATCCATGCTATCCGTAGCTTGGAGCTTCAGGGGACATCAAAACAACATAGATTAAATAAAGGAAAAAACATAAAATGAAAGGAAAAATTATGAAAACACACACACACACACACACACACAAAGCTTAAACCAGCCTAAGATGGTTTGCTCGTCTTTGCTGTTTTAAACTGGTCTAACTAGTCCTGACTCCTGTCCAGCTGGTCTCCCAGTCTGACCGGCTTACAGAAACCAAAACCCCTCTAAAACCAGCCAACAGAGCTTCCTGAGTTTCTTTGCCGGACATACACATAGTTTATTTATTTGTTTTTCAATTTTTCATGTTACAAAACAACCAAAGTATGAATTGTTATGTCAGTGTCCTGCCAAACGTTCGCACTGTAAATTTGACTGGAAAATGATCATAAACGTTTTAAATAAAGTAGATACTGCCTATTTTCGAATACAATTCGTAGATATGCATAGCAGATTTTGCATATTTCAACAAAACGTTAAAATTTTACCCATCGCTGAAATCCCTTCTTCTTAACCAAGTGTGCACCGTGATAAGCGGACCGTTTGGAAACAAAAGAAACCTGCCAACTAGTTCCCAGTCGAGAACGCGCGAGAGAAAATTATATTTTTAAAGTTCTGTCCAAATATAAATAATCTCTTAAAATAAATGAATAAAGTACAAGAGATAGCCTAAACAGAAACTTGCATATCTAGGATAATGCTGTGGACAAAAACTGTTAGAATCTGTTAAAAAATCTCACTGTGGGCCAATTTAATACTAATCTGTAATCCCTCATCACCATAATTATGTAATAATAATAAACTATTATCCAAAAGTTGATTTAAGACTTATATATTATGTATTTTTAATTAGCAGGTTTACGCGTGCACTCACAATTCTGAATGAAAAGTATATGAGCAGAATCATTGTGATAAATGGTTCAAGACATAATGAGAGCGTGAGGAGAGAGTAGCCTACATCTAATCCTCTTAAAAGACTTCAGGTATTAGGTATTGTGCTGATCCACGCTGAAGAGCTGTCCTGCGGTGCGTCCTGCTTGACCTGAAGCAGCGCTCACAGCATCCGTGCCTTTCCCTACAGCCCAGCTGTGAGACAGCAGCGCTTTCATCGGCTTTCAACCGGTAGGTTTCTTTGGCGTGTTCTGAATTATTTTTTGCATGAGAGAAAAGGAAGTTTTATTATACATTTCTTTGTTAATATGGCTAATTTATGGTTGAAATAGAAATACCTGCCGCCACCATATAGTTGGTGACACATTTTAGGGTTCATGCTGCTGTGTTTACAAAATACGTAATTTTCATTGTTTTTGTGGAGCTTCTTATAATGACACAATGCTATTACTAATATAGGTTGACAAAAACTTGAGACGGATGCTTTCCATGGTACGTTCGTTTAGACGCAAATGAAAGAAATGCTTCAAGGAAGGCTTTTCTTAATCATTTATTCATTCAGAAGCATTGTCAAAAGTTTTTATTATTATTAAGGGTCAATATTTATTTCTTGAAACAGGGGCACCATTTTATCTTTATTATGGCGTTTTTCCTAACCATGTATAACACACTGTGCTAATCATTTAAATGAAATACTTAACAGACAGACAGATAGATAGAATGAAATGTATGAAAGGTCAAATAACTGATGACTTAGGGGCATTTTATTACTTTCAGTGGCATTTTTGTCCCAAGCTCATGTTTTCCTCAATTTCTGACCATCATCAGAAGTTTGATCCACATTTTAAACAATTCACATGCTTCTACCAATGCAACTTACAAGAAGCTAGAAATGTTAAAATATATTTTTTAATTTTGTTTCATTTAATTCAATGCAATGTGTTGGTTAGATGAGGTCTACGTATTAGAAAAATCTTAGGAGTGTAATGGCCACTGTAATCTGCTGATTCTGCATTCAGTGTTTCCTATACAACTGTTGCACTCAGTATTCCTCCTTTTATCCACTGCAAGGTCTGTGAGAGGAAACCTGCACCACAGAGAAAATGAGATGAGTCAGTCTGAGAGTGAGTGCTGCACACCCCTGGAATTTTTGGGGGAAGATTCTGGATGTTCTGGGTGTCACTGCCCTAAAAAACAACTTGGTGCCCTTTAGGAAGCATACTAGAAAATGTTGCTGACTCGAAGAAAGAGACTTCATCTTAGCCGGATTATATTTCTTCTGTCTGGGGTTTTCCTTTGTTCTTTATATCAACTCACTATCAGAACCAGACTACCAGAACCCTGGCCTGAGCCCCAGACAGCAGGAAGACCTGAGGATGGCTCTGAACTTGGCTCTGGACTGTCGGAGATAACAGAGGTTTTTACTAATTTGACCGCTGCTGAGCCAAAGAGCTCCAACCACACAGATGGGGTCCAGTCATCAGAGATGGCGACAAATGTACCCATCCCAACAATATCTATAACAGAGACACCTACAACAACCACAAACAGGACAATCATCCATTGCATCTATGTTGATCCAGACCTTCCAAAACCCACCCCAGTTCCTACTCCGGCAACCGATATGACCACTTTTTTGCCCAACACTACAGCGTCCAGACCTGGAGAGGCACCACACATGAAGGGCGAGTACCCGGAGGACATCTTCACCATTGAGGAGCGACGCAAAGGCTGGGTCATTCTTCACATCTTTGGAATGGTATACATGTTTGCTTCTTTGGCCATCGTCTGCGATGAGTTTTTCGTTCCTACATTGGGGGTTATCATAGACAAACTGGAGATCTCAGATGATGTGGCCGGGGCAACGTTCATGGCTGCTGGAGGCTCTGCTCCTGAACTCTTCACTTCCTTGATCGGTGTCTTCATATCTCATAGCAATGTGGGCATTGGAACCATCGTTGGCTCGGCTGTCTTCAACATCCTATTTGTGATCGGAATGTGTGCGCTGTTTTCCCGGGAGATGCTTCACCTCACCTGGTGGCCTCTCTTTCGGGATGTGTCGTTCTACATCCTCGATCTCATCATGCTCATCATCTTCTTCTTGGACAATACCATTATGTGGTGGGAGAGTATGATGCTGGTGTGCGGTTATGCTACCTATGTTGTCTTCATGAAGTACAATGTTCAGATAGAGCAAGCTTTTAAGACTCAACTCAGGAAACACAAGAACATCGTCAAAGTTATCGCGGTCGAAGAACCTGAGAAGGTACGCCTCATTATTTATGACTTTAATATTCAGAATTATAGAGTCATTGGATAAGATATTTGGGTCAATGGCACATAAGAGTTTTTTGATAAATCACATCACATTTCACAACCTAAACTTAACGTGCCTCGTTATAAAAGGGCCACATTTTCTGATATTTTAATTAATAAATAATAAAAGATTATGCCAGACTACTTAATAAGATTTTCTTTTTAAAGGGGTCATATGATGCGATTTAAATTTTTCCTTTCTCTTTGAAGTGTTACAAGCTCTTGGTGCATAAAGAAGATCTGTAAAGTTGCAAAGACTAAAGTCTCAAATCCAAAGAGATATTCTTTATAAAAGTTAAGAGTCAGCCACACCTACCTAAAACGGCTCGTTCTAACACGCTCCCACATATCTACGTCACGATGTGGGAAGATTTGCATAACGCTGCCCAAATGTTCACGCAAAAAAGAAGGCGTAACTTTAATTCTTGCTTTTGCCGCCGCTGCCATGTCGTGGAGTCGCTGTGTGTTTCGTTGTGAACGCGAAAACTTTTTTTTTTTATACAGTTGTATAACCCTGAAATTGACTTCATGCACCAAATCAAAATTAATCTTTGCACAGAAATGAAAAATATATTCAAGTGTATTTATAAATAGGTGTATTCACTGTATTTATAAATTGTACAAAAAATACCATATTATTTACATTTATTCACTAAACAGATACTTTTATTCAAAGCGAATAATTGTGTATTTAATAAACACATTTGACCAGTACTGGGATTCAAACCCAAAACCTTGTGCATTATTAGTGCCATGCTTTATGATTTCAAGAACATGGATTGCATGTTAGCAATTAGCAATTTGCATAGCATTTTAATCATATTTATCACAGAAACATTTATTTTGGTTTTGATAGTGTTGATGGTTTCTGCAGTGCTAAGCCTTCTAGTGATGAGGAACATTTATTCTGCTATAATATCTGTTCATATCCGCGATAACAGAAATATAATAGCATCCCACTCAAGTGAATGTGAATGTGAGTCACTTATGTTTATTCATTGAGTAGATACGCATGGGTTGCGTTTTCCTTTGATGAACAGAAATGAAAAGAATCTCTTGTGTCTGCTGGGGCCAGACATTGTTAATGAGTTGTCTTGTAGCAGGTGAGGTATTTGGAGCAGGTGCATTTGGCTCACTGTGACAGCCCCATCTGAATTAGTGACACTATCCCGTCACATAATAAAACTGTGTGGTCATTTTCACAAGTTCCTTTCTTCATCCTGAACATCCCTCAGCTTAGATGCTGTGGTGAGAGGGAGGTTTAGAGAGATCAACACTTGATAATCTGTCATAACATCTCTGTGTTCACACTCTACCTGAGAGGGAGACTTTAAACTGCAGTGACAACCAGTGTATAGATTATAGTCAATGTGTCTTATACTGAAAAAAAAAGGAATATTAATAAATGGATAGGGTATCGTTAATCATTTATATGATCAAAATAATAATTTAATCTAATATCTGGTAGAGAACCTCTGGACTGATAAAACGATGACACTCTGGCTCTCTGATCCAAAGACGTTCACTTAATCCTTTGAGGGTCTGCTATGATGTACAAACTGTGTAACATATAGAGTGTTTAAATCTGATAAGTGTGATTGAAGCTTATGTAGTGTAAAAAGGCTTACTAGACCCAGAAGACCTAGATCTCTGTCAAACTAAACCCACTGATTGAACTTATCACTGGTAACAAATAAAATAGTAACAATAAAATACAGAATTTGATATATTTGAGTGCTTATGTATGTTACAGTGTTGTAAATGTTAACTAAAACTATAAAAATAATTTTCGTTAATTGAAATAAAGCTCAAATAGCATATAAATATATATTATAAAAATTATATGGAAAACCAAAACTTAAAAAAAACAAAACAAAGAGAAATTAGAAATGTTGACTTGGCAACTAATTGAAATAAAATAAGTTACTAAAATAACTAAAACTAAAACAGAAACAACAATAAAGCTAACCAGAAATGTAAAAAAATGACAAAAGACATAACACAATAACTAAATTCAAATTAAAATGAGAATTTAAAATATAAAAATAAAGGTTAATTGAAAATATTAATAATTACTATAATAGTATACAAATAATACTGGTATGTTATGCTACATCCTCTTATGTTACAGTTTTTCTTCCATTTAGAATAAATAATTTAAATTATATTGTAATTTCAAGTAAATACATAGATACATAAAGATTTCCTCTCAAGTTTGCAACAGTCTAGTCACCTTTATTCTCTAACAGTAGAATGAGAGGTGAAGGTCAAAGGTCAAATCAGTGCCTTACATACTCTGTAATGTTTCAAACTTTTGTTGCACACAGGACAATGGGACCTCGAGTGAAGAGAACAGGCCGCCTGAACCAGAAGACAAGAATCGATTAAAGGTAATCAAAAAATTTGAAAATATATGTAAATATTATAAACAAATAATAGTAATTAAAAAAATGTGATCTCTGATAACTCTTAAAGGTAAAGGGTGTAATTTATGCGTAACTATAGTCACAAAATATTGACTGTTTCCAAAGAGATGACGCAGCTGGTTGAGCCAGTGCTGCTGTGTTTTCCTGGACAGAGCAATAGGCAACATATTTCAACTTTAACCTCTGGGAAGTCAGCCTACGAATGGCTTTTTTATAGTTGTCTTTGTCAAACAAAGATATGAGAAAGTATTTTAACATCCAAAAATGACACACATTACCTTTAAAAAGTCATGAAAACACAACATGAACAAAATACTCTTGATAAGATTTGATACATTTCACATGTCCTGTCATATGAATATGGTATTATTAATTTAAGTAACATAAAATAAACAACATATATAAATGACCTTAATTCTCCATTAAGTCCATATATTAAACAGAGATTCAGGGATGCCACAATTCTCAATATAATATTAAACCGTTCGGTACGACATTCACAGTTCAATATGTGCTTGCGAATTGCGATTGTTTTTCAGTTTTGTGTTTAAATAATTCCTGTGTGTTTATTTCTCTCTGAATTAGCTCTGTGTGTGTGTCTGTGAGTTCATGCGCTGAGATGAGGAAACACCTCCCCGCTTATAATGTGCATTTGAAAAATTGTTCATCTTCCCTTGTAATGACTTGCAATGAGAAGCATTTCTAAACCTGTTAGCTAACAAAAGAGAACATTGTAACATGTTTTTACTCCATAACATCAGTCGAATGTTTGAAATACCTTCCTTTTGTGATCTGATGTGGCTTCTTATCATAGAATGAGGCAGAAAATATATTATATGCTGTAATAAAGGCTATATCGTTGAGCAATGGATTATAAGTATACTTAATTATTATGAAAATACCCGAGATGGCTTGAAGAACCCAGACAAACTATACATTGTCGCGGTCAAGTGTTTACTGTCTTCATGTTTAATCAGTTCAAGCGTTTCAATCTTCTTTTTATTCAGTTACACCGATAGCTGGATGCCTTTGTCTATATTAGGGATTTCCTGGAACGTGTTCAGTTCTATTTCTTCTGTGATGCATATGTGGAGTTTCTGCGCGTGCCTTCCAGTATGAATGAAACATACATTACATAGCACTCCATAATGGGAAATCCATCCTATTTTGGGTAAAAATAGGAAAATTTATACTTTTCTCAAAAGAAATTTGAAGTAGACGTATAATAATCCATGTTCTTCTCCAGTGTACAGATGTGGGGTTTTTTTGGTTAATTTATTAAAATCACAAAAAAACACTCTGATGTACCAAGCCATCAGAACCAAAATGAAACGAAAACGTGGTTAAAAAAATGAGGTATTGAACCGTGGGCTAACTGTGTTGTTGCATCCCTAGTTCAGATATGAATTCTTTCAATATGATCATTTAGCGTGAGCATTTGTCAGAATATTTCTCATCTCTTGTGTAGCTGAAGCCCACACTGCAGCGCGGGGGCAGTTCTGCCTCTCTGCACAACAGCACCATGAGGAACACCATCTTCCAGCTGATGATTCACACACTGGATCCTCTTGGAGAAGGTAAGAGCCCTTCAGTGTCTGAACCCTCATAATGATAACTCATTAAGCAAACATTGCACGAAGCGTTAAAAATTTCAATTCTGGTGGTTTAAAGGGATCGTTCACCCAGAAATTACAATTCTGTCATCATTTACTCATCCTCATGCCATTCTAAACCTGTATGACTTTATTTCTTCTGTGCAACACAAAAGAAGAAGAAAAACACTGAGACATTTCTCAAAATATTTTTTATCTCCAAAAGAAGAAAGAAAGAAGAAAGAAAGTCAAACAGTTTTGGGATGACAAGATGGTGAGAAGATGATTGTACCTTTCCGATATGTTTGTGAAAGCTGTATCACAAGGTTTACAAATTAGTGTTTGAGTAAACATTAAGATTAAATAAGCAGGTATATGCTAAGAATGTAGTGCTTTTTATTATCTGAAGACGCAAATTCTGCAATTTTTTGATGTCTAATGTTGTTTATACAAATTGGTTGATTTAAACACTACTGGTTTAGAGGTATTAGGTAGATGCAATTTTTGCTTCAGATTTTTTTTTATGGTTACACCTTACTGAAGTATTGTGTGTATCAAAACACAAATTGTATAAAGATCAAAATACCAATCATATAATAGGCCTATATTCCTTGAGGCAAGAGCTGTAAGATGTTCAGAAGTGTAGCAGGAGAGTCCCTTTGTCCTTCTCCCAGTACAAATGGATTAGCAAAGCGTGTTCCATATGATGACAGCACTAAGTCCAGATTGATACTAAGAAGATAAATAGCTCTTTCTCAGTCTATGGAGTGAAGAGTGATTCATAGTAGTGAGAGAAGGCCCACCACAGTGGCTCTATGACATGTTGTCAAGTCACATCAGTGTGTATGTCACCATTTAAACATACACTACATTATTTCCTCATTGCACATGGGTTCTCATACAAGATGGTATTATTTGCAGAAACAGTTATTTTAGCATCACAAAAATGTCATCAGAAATGTCATCCCCTACTACAGAAACATCATCATAAAATTTGAATATAATTAAATAAATACTATGTGCACTGAAGATTTGATATCATATGATTTCCTTGCATGGCTCCTTAATGGCTGCAATGCATATGTGTAAAGCAGTAGCCCTGGTGCTGAGGTCTCTGCGGGTCAGTTGTTTGATGGCTGGGGTTGGTCCCCTTGACCTTCAGCCTGTCCTCAGGAGGCTGTGCAGCACCTGCGCTTTCAGGGTCCCCACAAAAACCTCCCAGCACTGTGCTGCTCCATCATTAAGCTGCTTTTGATTGAGCTCATAAAGGCTGGATGAGAGCCAGTCTCCAGCAGCTCAATCCTGTTATGGTGATGGGGTCCGTGCTTATTTACAAGCCATAGTCAGTGAGACAAATTTGATTCAGATTCAATGAAACAAAAGATTCATTTGTACATATCTATATTTGGGTTGATAAATAACTGACAAGTACTTAAAAAATGTACAAGGACCTCAACTGCACTGCCTTAATATACTCTGTATACCCTGCTTGTCAGTCTTTTGCATCTCACAAGGAAATGTCTGGGTCATATTTCAGAAATGCCTATTTGATTAGATTTTTTTAATTTTGTTGCATTTATTAGCATTAATTTAATTACAATTAAACACCCCATCCCCCAGTTTTAATTACATAATAATAAAATATCATTCTTATAACTGTATTGCTGAAGTTAAATACCAAAATTAGACATAGAGTATATACATAGACTATCAGTCAAAAGTGTGGAATAATTAAGATATTTTTTTAAGTTTCTGAAAGAAAAGCATTTCAAATATTATTATAATTTAAAATCGGCATATTAGTATTATTAGAATGATTTCTGAAGGGTCATATGACACTGAAGATTTGCTTAAAATTCAGCTTTGCCATCACAGGAATAAATACATATTAAAATATATTCAAATAGAAAATAGTCATTTTAATTAGTAATAATATTTCACAGTATTACTGTTTTACAAATAAGTGCAGCCTTAGCGAACTTAAGAAACTTATTTTAGAAACATTAAAAAACATATATATATTTTTTCTTTTGACCAGTAGTGTGTATATATAAAGTGTATAAAATAATGTAAAGATAATATAAATCTGTAACATATAAACACATTTTGGATTTTGATTATAGTTAGTTATAAAAAAAAAATGTGTATAATACAAAAACTTAGGCTTGATGACCCAAACATTTCTTGACAGCATTTATATCTTGACCTGTCCAAAGTTTTTTTTTTCTTTCAACAAATCCATTTGTGAAGTTTTTAAAAAATGTTTTTTTAACATTGCCACTTGTTGGCATCCAAGTCAGTAGACATGAGTAGTTTTGAAGGGCATCAGGAGATGCATTTGTGACACTCACCATGGTATTTGTTGTATATGAATCTACATTTACTCATTAGAGTCAGTGTTTAATGGAGATGCAAAAGCTAGAAGCTCTTTGGAATGTAAAGGTAAGGGGCGTTGTGATGTTATTCTTGTGATGTGATTGCCTTGTAGTAGCCTGTGAGATGTGAGGAAATTACATTTTGTTTTACGTCTGTGAAATTAGGGCTTTTGTCATTTGTGGTACCATTGTTGACCCTGACAGTGTCAGTGAAAGTCTACATTCAAGCTATATTCTTCCTTTCCTGGTTTGCAGTGAAATTTAAAGACAAGGCTCAGATTTTGAACGACATGGCCCGGGGGAATGTAGAGAACAAAAAGAAGGAAAAATCTGGTGAAGGTGAGATTTTATAATCTTAGTCTATTGCACAGCGCTTTGTAGACAGGTCGGTGCATTGTCCTACCTCACAGATGAGCTCTGTTGCATATTCAAAATGGTTAGTAATGTTGCATTTCCACAAGTGGTAACGCACCAGCTGTGTGCTGGATGAAAGGTACAAAGAGAGGGCAAGCTGCCTGGAGTTTGGCCCGTTTTGCCCTCTACACAGCATCCCGCATTCCATATTTCCACCTTTTGTTTCTACTTGAGAGCTGCTTTACACATTAGCTGACATAATGACCAAGCTTCATCTCATGAATTAAGCATGAGTGGCTTGGAATCAGTGCTTGAAATTGCCGCCAAACTATATAGCAACATTACTCACTCCTATTGAAGAAATCTTCACTCCACATCTGAGAGGAGCTTGTAGTATTGCTATATTTAAGAAGCAATTGCAAACTTGATTGATATTTTATTATCGTGGTTTAAATAAGGTGACGATCAAATGGAGCAGTCCAAGGATTCCAAAGATGCTGCTCCAGGAGCCAAGGAAGAAGACGCTAGTCAAAAGCCTGAGGCGCAAAAGGTGGGCCTATTGCTTCTCGAAAACAGTTGGGAAGAAGAAGGAGGAGCTCTGAGACACTTGTGTGCTTTTAATGAACTTATCAATTCTTTACCTTGTTGCAAAGCTGACAGAGGCGATTTGTCATACATAGTATGTGATTCATATTTACCCAGAAATGAAAAGTCTGTCATCATTTACTCACCCTCATGTCATGACTTCCTTTCTTCTGTGGAACTCAAAAGAAGTGTTGAAGAATGTACTGGAGTGCCATTATAATGAAGGAGAACTGGAGCTTTCAAGCTTGAAAAGCACTGTAAACTGATTGTTGTTATTCTCCATGATGTGTTCATCAGAGAAGTAACAATTAATTACTTCATTCAATTCTGAATGATTCAATCACAATTCGGACTGTACTCGAGTTCATCTCATAACAGTTTTCGGGTTAACAGCTCGCTGGAGACGAAGACTATATGTGAATGAATTAAGCTATATATAGCTACTTTTATTGTGCTTTTGCAGGTTGAAAGCTCCAGTCCCCATTCATTATAGTTGCATGGAAAAGAACAAGCCATACGAAAGTCATGTAGGTTTGGGAACTAAGTGTGAGTAAATCATACTAAAACTTTTATTTTGGGGTAAACTATTGCTTTATGTTTGTTGTTCTCCTTTTAATCTGTGAGGGTATTATGTTTTCAACTGTCTCTTTCTTGCTCTGTCTTAAGGAAGGAGACACTGCAGCAGGAGGAGGCTCAGAGAAACCAGGAGGTTCAGATGATTCGGGAGATGATGATGAAGATGACAGTGATGAAGACAGCGATGAAGACAGTGATGATGAAAATGAGGATGAGGCTGGGGAGGAAGGAGAAAATGACGAACCTCTGTCCTTAGAGTGGCCAGAGACCAGACGTAAACAGGCCACATATTTGTTTCTGTTGCCCATTGTCTTTCCTCTGTGGCTGACAGTTCCAGATGTCAGAAACCCTGTGAGAACCAAAACAAAACATCACATTAGTAATGTTTTCTTGTATATTTCTTTCACTTTTGATAGAACTAACATATATATTATTTTGTATTGTGCTTAACAGGCATCCAAAAAGTTCTTTGTCATTACTTTCCTTGGCTCAATAGTATGGATTGCTATATTTTCCTATCTTATGGTGTGGTGGGCACATCAGGTCAGTGTAGAAACCAATATTTGTGGTTCTAAAAGTATTTGGACACTTAAGCCACACTTAAATGTCATTACACTAGCAAATAAAATATCAAAACAAGCAATCACTCATAAAGAATTTCTCTCCTAGGTGGGTGAGACCATTGGCATCTCTGAGGAAATCATGGGTCTCACCATTCTGGCTGCAGGAACATCCATTCCTGATCTAATCACCAGCGTGATTGTGGCTCGAAAAGGCTTGGGAGACATGGCTGTCTCGAGCTCTGTAGGCAGCAATATATTTGACATCACCATGGGGTAAGACAACAGAAACTTTAAATATTTAATGAATCAGGTGTTTGGTAGCTGGAAATGATATGCACAGTTTTTGTCAAATGTGACCCTGGACCACAAAACCAGTCATAAGGGTCAATTTTTTTTTGAGATTTATACATCATCTTACATCCTCTGAAAGCTGAATAAATAAGCTTTCCATTGATGTATGATTTGCTATGACAGGACAATATTTGGTCGAGATACTATTTGAAAATCTGGAATCTGAGGGTGCAAAAAAAATCAAAATATTGAGAAAATTAAAGTTGTCCAAACGAAGTTCTTAGCAATGCATATTACTAATCAAAAATGAAGTTTTTATTTATTTACGGTAGGAAATTTACAAAATATCTTCATGGAACATGATCTTTACCTAATATCCTAATGATTTTTGGCATAAAAGAAAAATCGATAATTTAGACCCATACAATATTTTTTTGGCTATTGCTACAAATATACCCCAGCGACTTAAGACTGGTTTTGTGGTCCAGGGTCACAAATGTGGTTGGCTGAACACTGGCACTTTCCACTGTTTGTGTTCACGCCACCGGTTTGTGTTTGCATTTCAGACGAATCAGAATCACAATCAGAATTATCTTTATTGCCAAGGACTGTGGGTACACATGTACAAAGAATTTGTCTTGATGCATTGGTGCTTAACAAAGACAATCAAATACAAGAATAAATACTACTACTAGTAGTAATTCAAGGCATTAATGTTTGCCTACAAAACCACCACTGGTTCTGCACCCATTTACCTAAATTCATTACTTCAGAGTTATGTGCCCTCTAGAAGCTTGCGTTCTGCAAGTGAACGGCGTATTATTGTGCCATCTCAAAGAGACACAAAATCACTTTCACTGACTTTTTCATTAACTGTTCCCTCCTGGTGGAATGACCTGCCCAAATCAATCCGAGCAGCTGAGTCCTTAACCATCTTCAAAAAACGACCAAAAACACACCTGTTCCACCTTTATTTGACACTCTAACTCTAGCACTTTCTATTCTATTTTAATTCTACTTTATCTATTTATCTTCTTTTTTATTTAAAAAAACACTAGCTTTCTATTTTTTCTATTCTATCTATTTGTTTTTCTTTGTGTGTGTGTGTATATATATATATACATTTTTAATTTTTATTTATTTATTTATACAACAGTTTGTTCTGGTTCCCAAATCTGATTGGTTGAGAACCGTGAGATATTGTACTGGTATCGCTACAGGAACGCCCTTTCACAATTTTGTATCACTCCGCTTGTTCTAGCCGGGTCTATGTTTTTTTTTTTAATTATTCACTGAGCTAATCGTAAAAACATTAGTTAATATAAGAAGAAACGTATAGCTTTGCGGTCTCTCTCTCTCTCATTCGGATGCACGTCTTGCCGCATTGTTTCTCTTATAACCTCATTATTTCTCACTAATAACCTAACTGAAGCAGCACATGCCCTTGATACAAATTCTAAAAGTGACGTATGTCTAACTGTCAACTTAAGCTTTGAATCTGTGGCGGAAGGAAGTAGTTCCGCACAAAAGAGGGTTTTATTAGGCACTCCGTTGTTTCTTGTTTAATTACACACATGTTCCATCGAACTGTTGTATAAACGCAATATCACTCGAGTACGAGAGCGATATCGGCTCTATATCAGCGGCTGTGATTGCCTGCGGCCTCGTGCCTCTGGCCTAATCACAGCCATGCTGATATAGAGCCGGTATCGCTCTCGTACTCGAGTGATATTGCTCATATATATATATATCTTGCTACGTGAGGAAAGTGACTCGAAAAGTTTGTGTCCAGGGTGAGAGGGGTCAGCCACAATCTTAACTGCCCGCTTCATGTACATGTACAGAATTCAAACATACTTTTTTAGCAGTCAAAGTATTTACTTATTTAAAAGAAGTAGGCTACCTACGCAGAGTATGCGATTTCTGAACTCAAATGGCAAAAGTAGACCAAGTAGCTGGCAATATTGTGTCTTAAATGTAAGTTACTGAATAATAACTTGTTTTTAAACTGCTGTTTTTTTAGCAATATCACACTCACAATCATATTGTTGCTATGAATAGGCTACATACCAAATCACTTGTTTTCAGCTTAATTTTATCCCCTCTGACGTTTACAGGCTGCCCGTGCCCTGGCTGATGTACTCATTCTGCCATTCCCTGGCACCGGTGCCCGTGAGCAGTAATGGGCTGTTCTGTGCCATTGTGCTGCTCTTCCTCATGCTCCTCTTCGTCATTATCTCCATCGCTGCCTGTAAGTGGAGGATGAATAAAGTGTTGGGATTCATCATGTTCATCTTCTACTTTGTGTTCCTGGTGCTTAGTGTCATGCTAGAGGATCGAATCATTATATGTCCCGTGTCCATCTGAGCAAACCCGTGGATACAGTCCTGTCTTTTGAAACGTTCTGAACTGTAACTTCACACATAATGTATCATATTTGAAGCATCTCTGGACTCACTGTTGACTTATTCTGTATTACACAAGTTATTTTGTAAAGGGATGCAATAACTGGCCATAATTTCCAAACTCTGTTAACTGTTACAGACACTTGAGTTTTTTTGGTCTCCTTTTTTGGTTTGTTACATTAAAATGAATACAGTAATGACACAGAAGAGTCACAGGCCCTGTCCCAAATGGTCTCCATTTTTGGTATCCACACTTTGGTGATGTAATGCCAAGTAGATTGTTGAGTGTAGACTGCTGTGTTTGCCCACCAGTGTGAGCTTTGCAAAAGGGCACATTGAGGCCACATACAGAGGCACTCTTGAGCACGCTTTTGAACCATAAAATGACAAATAAGACACCCTACTGCACTGTGGATTTGGCAAACACAATATGATTCTGATTGCATAATTAAAGGCCACATCAAGTGTGCCATTTAGGACAGCACCACAGTGTACTATATATGGAAACTCTCACTTAATTTGTGATGCAATTTAACCATTTAGTTCTATTGTGATGATACCAAGACACAAAATCACAAAGATTATAACCTGGTGAAAAGTCGAAATGTTGCTTTAATTTTGTCCAATGATGAAAAATTGCATTTCACAACAAAGAAAATGTTTCCAATTTTTTTTATTTTTTATATTGTGATTGTATTATTTGATGTTGTGGGTTTTCAGATAGCTATGGGACTACATTGGGAGAAATTGTGAGCTTATTGTAAATGATGCAATTGAATCATTCTGCAACGGAATTATTTTTGTAACTTGGAAAAATGTCATTAGCAAGCGTTTTAAATGCAGATCTTGTGCTGTATGTAAGATATGATTTTTTTTCCATCATAAAAGTAGAATCTCAAGCATATAACAAGACTTCTTTACAAAGTCTAATGTAATCAGTATGATTCTGATAAAAACAGTTGTGAATTTCCATACAAATGTCACACTGCTGTTTGAATTCACTACTGAGTCAAGGATTGTTTTTTTTCAAATATTACACAGTGTTGATTTCTCTCTTGAGAGTTGCTCATTGTAAATATTCATTTGTTGGTTCAGTGCAAAATTAAATGGGGTTTCAAATGTGACTTTTCCTCCCTCTGTTTCATCGAAAACAAACCAGTGACACCAACACAAACACTCTGGAGTCGATTTAAGTGTTTATTTACAGTTCTAAACAATTTTATAGACCTGGCTCAGATCTGACTAAATGATATATACAAATATAAATAGAAGTAACAAAAGGAGTGATATGTAAAGCACATTGCCCTAACAAAATGATTTGTTAAAAAACGAACAAACAAAACAAATCACCTTACACATTAACCGCTTTAAATGAGCTTCCATGAAATAGGTCAGTTTGTTTCACTACCATGCCATATGGACATAAAAAGCAGGTGATAGAAAAACTGCTAAACATTAAAAGCAGTGTAAATTTTTGTTTTTGTTTTGTAGTTTTACACAGCATCAGGTCAATAAACAAACAAAAACAAAATTCATCCCAAAATGTTTAGGGCAGTATTATCTGTTTTTTCCTACTTGGGGCATTAACATCAATGTGTCATTGAGTATAATTACCTTTTCCATAATCCATTGCATTTTAAACATTTAAACGTCATCAATCCTCTTCCCAACCACACAGACTCAAAGTGCATCTTCATTATTTTCCATCATAAAAGTAGAATCTCAAGCATATAACAAGACTTCTTTACAAAGTCTAATGTAATCAGTATGATTCTGATAAAAACAGTTGTGAATTTCCATACAAATGTCACACTGCTGTTTGAATTCACTACTGAGTCAAGGATTGTTTTTTTTCAAATATTACAGTGTTGATTTCTCTCTTGAGAGTTGCTCATTGTAAATATTCATTTGTTGGTTCAGTGCAAAATTAAATGGGGTTTCAAATGTGACTTTTCCTCCCTCTGTTTCATCGAAAACAAACCAGTGACACCAACACAAACACTCTGGAGTCGATTTAAGTGTTTATTTACAGTTCTAAACAATTTTATAGACCTGGCTCAGATCTGACTAAATGATATATACAAATATAAATAGAAGTAACAAAAGGAGTGATATGTAAAGCACATTGCCCTAACAAAATGATTTGTTAAAAAAACGAACAAAAAAACAAAATGAATCACCTTACACAGTAACCGCTTTAAATAAACCATTTCCATGAAATAGGTCTGTTTGTTTCACTACCATATGGACGTAAAAAGCAGGTTATAGAAAAACTGCTAAATATTAACAGCAGTGTAAACTGTATTTTTTGTAGTTTTACACAGCATCAGGTCAATAGTTTTTTTTCTTCATCCCAAAATGTTTAGGGCAGTATTATCTGTTTTTTTCCCACTTGGGGCATTAACATCAATGTGTCATTGTGTATAATTACAAGTATTATTATCTTAATCCATTGCATTTTAAACATTTAAACTTCAGCAATCCTCTTCCCAACCACACACACTCAAAGTTCATTAACATAATGATAAAAAATGAACAGTATTAAAATATAACAGATCCAGTTACCGCATGTTTAATTCGTAAAGAGTTTGTGAGTAAATAAGTGCTTGCATGCTTCAGATACTTTTGTTTTATGCATCTCGACAAATGAAACCCATGCTCAAAAAAGTTCATTAACATAATGATGATAAAAAATGAACAGTATTAAAATATAACAGATCCAGTTACCGCATGTTTAATTCGTAAAGAGTTTGTGAGTAAATAAGTGCTTGCATGCTTCAGATACTTTTGTTTTATGCATCTCGACAAATGAAACCCATGTTTATGCAACACTGCACAATATAAAGCAATGTTTAAAAAAATATATATATATACAGTGGGTACGGAAAGTATTCAGACCCCCTTCAATTTTTCACTCTTTGTTATGATTGTGTAAGTGGGTGTAAAATGCTGACTTCACATTCACATTAACAGTCCATTTTATTTTATACTCACTATATTACTCTTTATACCCTGTTGTAAATTTGTCTCCGTACTGTTCTTCGCCCCAAGGTAAGGCATTTCTCAGTTCAAAATCTGATCAAATATATTTATCACCTGTGAGTCAAGATTTTATATTTGGTCCAGTTCTGTACCTCAAGACGACAGTGTCACTGACGGTCACCATTCGACTGGTCTCCAGGACCAGGACGACAAACAGCACATGCTCAAAAGAGAAACCTATACACTACGAAAAGCATAGTCTTTACAAATGGAGACACATTAGTTATAACAAATTCCAGTCTTAAAATATAACTGTATAATACAAATATGCAAAATAATAAGACTATGTACACAAAGTCTCTCTGTACGTGAAATATACAAGTGCCCCTAGAAGGCCAAAAGCGGATTGTGTTTGTCGGGGTTGCTCGTTGTGCTTCTACGCATCCTAAACGTGATCGATTTGATTGTTCTATAGCTACTGGTCCCGAATCCACTCCACGATTCACTGGACGTGAACGAATGGAGCGATGGAATGACCTGAGCACAATGGTATTGCTCCTAATCTACAATAACCTCTATACTCAAGTTTACTGAACCTGAGCGGTGCTAGACGATTCAAATGTGACCCCAAGTATCCGAAAGGGGTTGAGGGTCAAGACATTAGGCAGATGGAAGAGCAAAATTGAGGGAGAAATGCAAGAAAAAGACATGATCACTGACTTGATAAAGTGGCATATTCACAGGAAGTGTATGAAGAAGAACAGTCACATAACAGACAGGATTTGATTTGAAAGAGACCTCATGGGAGCCAGAGGTAGCTTTGGTTACGATGAATGTTCAGGATCACATGAATGAAAGTGTTGCTTCTTTAGATGAGACTTCCTGTGTGATGGATGTGAGGAAAGAGGGAGGAATGAGAGGAGGCGAATCAGAGACTGGGCAGCCCAAAGGTTCTCCTGCATTCCATGACTCCAGCACTGGGTGGCCGGTCACAATTGTGGGTCATCTTAACCTGGCTTGGCGTCAAACGGTCATATGCCATTTTGTATTCACGGTCGAATGCATCTGTGAGAATAAACGTTAGTATTGTTAGTAATGACGCTAGTGCTCACATTCAGTGGTTTCATAGACGTACATTACAGTTCATAAGTTTAGGGTCAGTACGTCTCTTATGCTCAGCAAGGTTGCATAAAAATGGTAATATTGTGAAATATTTTTACAATTTAACTGTTTTCTATATTAATATACTTTCAAATGTAATTTATTCCTGTGATGTTAATTCAAAATTTTACTCCATTATTCCAGTCTTCAGTGTCACATGATCCTTCAGAAATTGTTCTAATATGCTGATCAAGAAATATTTCTCATTATTATTATTGATGTTGAAAATAGTTATGCTGCTTAATATTTTTGTGGAAACAATGCTACATTTTTTTCAGGATTCTATGGCGAATAGAAAGTTCAAAAGAACAGCATTTATTTTAAATTAAAATCTTTTGTAACAATGTAATGTGTCCAATGTGTCCTTGTTGAATAAGAGTATTAAAAAAAAGTATATATATATAAAAAAAAACATACTGAACCCAAACTTTGAAACAGTAGTATAACACATTATCAAAACAGTCAGCTCACCAATATTTATGCTATTCTTGCCCAAAGCCACCAAAGACAGGAACATGATATCTCTATATAAGCTCCTGCATATGACAAAATTAAGAAAAATTAGTAATTAAGATTAGCTTCTCAAAATGTTTATTAAAGCAGTTTCATTTAAACACTTTACACTGTTCTCCTACCGTTGTCTGACGAAGCCCAGTCTGGTGCCCAGTAGCTGCAGTATCTGACTCATGGGCTGGTAGATATCGTTCCTCTGGATGCTCTTCACGACACTCTGCAGCAGCTCTAAGCTCACAGCCTGCTCCTCCTCCTCAGATGCTGCAGGATTTGCACCTGTTAAAAAACACGACCCCAGTATGAAGTAGATGGCTGGCACACGGATGGATGCAAAACTACTGCCACAGCTGCTGAAGTGTTTTGAGGGGGTTTAAGTACATTTAGTAGTTTTTGTTAAACTTTCAATGCAGTTGTTAGGGTGTTCTGGGTGGTTAAGTAAAACTATTACAATCTTTTTTAATAATTTAAATAAAGCTCAAATAATCACGATTAATCATTTGACAGCCCTTATAAAAAGCTTAAATTAAAAAAATCCTCCTCAGATGCTGCAGGATTTGCACCTGTTAAAAAACACGACCCCAGTATGAAGTAGATGGCTGGCACACGGATGGATGCAAAACTACTGCCACAGCTGCTGAAGTGTTTTGAGGGGGTTTAAGTACATTTAGTAGTTTTTGTTAAACTTTCAATGCAGTTGTTAGGGTGTTCTGGGTGGTTAAGTAAAACTATTACAATCTTTTTTAATAATTTAAATAAAGCTCAAATAATATTAGAAATATATATATAATATAAATATTAGATAACAAGTAGGGCTGTTAAACGATTAATCGCATCCAAAATAAAAGTTTGTGTTTACATAATATATGTGTGTGTACTGTGTATATTTATTATGTATATATAAATACACACAGATCCATGTATATATTTAAAAAAACAATATATATATATATATAATTTATATTATATATAAATATGACATTTTTCTTAAATATATACATGCATGTGTGTTTATTTGTATATACATAATAAACATACACACATATATTATGTAAACACAAACTTTTATTTTGGATGCGATTAATCACGATTAATCATTCGACAGCCCTTATAAAAAGCTTAAATTAAAAAAAGAATGAGCTGTTTCCCTGTCAACTAATTGAAATAAATATGTTTAAAGTTGAAGTACCACAATTACAAAAATTAATAACCGAAATAAAGATAAATATAAATTTTTTTTTATAAAAATTACAAATGCATATAATAAAATAGTAGAATTTAAAATATAAATCTGCTATAATAGTACATAAATAATATTATAAATAATACCAAAATAACACAGCTAGGTAAAAAGAGCCCACTCTCTGATATTCGGGCACCTAAATATAGCTCTGATTCCTTCTCCAGTGTAGGGCTAAAATATATTTTTTTTTTCTATAGAAAAATAATGCCACACTTAAGCCTCATGGTTTGAGGCATAACTCATGTCAAACAGGATAATATGTTGCAAATATTTGTCCCAGAACCACTTTCATGCACATTTACAATCATAAAGCACACTTTTCAGTGTGTAAATGAGTTTATATATATATTTGTATCATCTTCTTACAATATGATTTCCAGAGCAAGTAGCAAGGCTTGATGTGATCCTGATGCAGTCTGGGATTGT